ATGCTTTACAATTATACAGTGGTGATACAAAATATCACATCAATCAGAAACAAAACAAATGTTGACCGACGCAAAATGAAGAGCTCCTTGCTCAAGTGTGCTTACAATCTTGGAGACACAAACAAGGGAAAGAAAAACGTGTCAGAGGGAAATAAAGGTTTGACAGGAATTGTACTTGTGTGGTCGTTAGGCTCGTAAAAGTGGTGTGTGCGGAGGAACTGTAGACAGAATGGTGAGAGAGTGTAATGGGCTATGAAGGCACAGGTTAGTGATGGACTTGTCATAAATAATCCATTAATCTTCTAAATGCCATTTTTGTAATCACATATTTTATTTCATATCAATTCATTGTTTTAATTATTATTCTATGTAAATTATTAAGCATTGTATCTGCATATCATATCAGTATGCCAATAAATGTTTTTATAGTTTTTTACCAGCTTTTTTATAAAGTTCCCCACACAGATCGCTGTTATTTAATTTTGAATACTTTGTTACTCACATCAATCCTGGTTCTATATTATAGCCATCTGTCGTGTTTACGCTTTAGGGTGTCACATCTTGTGTCTGTTTCATTTTCAATGTACTTTGTTCATTTATTGTTTTGTTTACTTTTGTATACTGCACTTCTACTTTATTAACTTTCACTATTTCAAATAAGGATGTTGTTGCCTAGCAACAATTCAAGGTTGCACACAGCTGGCCAAAACTCCTTTTTCCTCAGGCAGCCTGCCTTATCACTGATTAAGAAATATATCCACATTTTGTAGTGTCAAGAAAAATAACAAATACATTCAAATTAGTACTAATATATGTTTTTAATATAAACTTTGAAATTTATAAAGCCTGTGTCTATGCGTGTGTAGTCTATTAGAAATTAAAGTAATAGCGGGTCAAGTAACTAGATCAGGGCTAGGCAACCTTCGGCACTCCAGATGCTGTCTCCCACAATGCTCTTACAGCCATAATGCTGGCAAAGCATCATGGGAGGTGTAGTCCAAAACATCTGCAGTGCCGACGGTTGCCTATCCCTGAACTAGATGATGATCTGCATATATCAGAGTGATGAACAGTCAAAGCTCTAGTCTGCACATGGCACTTTTATCAAGACACTGAAAACAGTGACATGAAACAAAAGAAAGGGATAAATTGTAACCAAGGCTAAAGATGTAAAGTATGAGCTGTAGATATTGGTACTATATGACCTGAGTGGTATTGTGACATTCAGTAACAAAATAACACAAGCATAGTGTAAATCACAAAGCAACTCAAAGTAACAGTTTCAGGGAAAAACTAAATATTTCTCTCTTCACATGGTTGATCTTAACATGTATAGCTTGGAGGAAAGACGAAACAGGGGGGATATGATAGAAACATTTAAATACATAAAGGGAATCAACACAGTAAAGGAGGAGACTATATTTAAAAGAAGAAAAACTACCACAACAAGAGGACATAGTCTTAAATTAGAGGAGCAAAGGTTTAAAAATAATAATAGGAAGAATTACTTTACTGAGAGGGTAGTGGATGCATGGAATTGTATTCCAGCTGAAGTGGTAGAGGTTAACACAGTAAAGGAGTTTAAGCATGTGTGGGATAGGCATAAGGCTATCTTAACTATAAGATAAGGCCAGGGACTAATGAAAGTATTTAGAAAAATGGGCAGACTAGATGGGCTGAATGGTTCTTATCTGCCGTCACATTCTATGTTAATCATATTTACATGATTTTTTTGCAAATAAATTGAATTTGCAATGTATGTGCTGACAGCAGAGTCGGTGCTTCCAGTTTAGTGCTGGCTCTGTTGAAACCCCCACCGATGCACAGGCCAGTGGGAGCAGCAATCTGCAGATGATCATTCCCTGTGAGAGACAATCAGAAATGTCTGTACCTAGTCAGAGATGCAGATCCCTCACCAGACTGCCAGGAAATCCATTGGACCACCAGGGAATAAGAAATAGAGCGCTGCGAAATGTAAGCAGTAACTGTACTCAAAAAATAAAAATATGAAAAAGAGAACAACACTGTGTGAGGCTGAACAGAGTCCCCAAACAAAATACACCCTCCAATTACACTATCACATCACCCTCCACACATTGTCATATTGCTACACTTATCCCCACACATAGTCACCCTGTGACACTCACCCCTCCACGCATCTCACACACAGTCACCCTGTCACCCCCACCCCATACAAAATCACTCTGACACAATCACCCCTTCACTCACCCCTCACACAATAACCCTGTCACACTTATCCCCACACAGTTACCCTGTCCATGTAACTATTCGACAGCCACCCTCATACACACAATCACCCTCATGCAAAGCCACCTCCTACAGTCAGTATTCCTATACACAAAGTCACCCCTCACACAACACAGCCTCACCATAAACACCATGCACACATTAAGACCACACCACAAGATTTCTGCAGACCACTTACACCCCTTCATGGTGGTGGTTCCTTTCCGCAGGATAATGCAGCTTGCCATATAGCATGAGGAGAACCTACATGTTATTAGTCAAGTGGTTTAAATGTTGTGGCTGACCAGTGCATGTGTATATGTTCTGATTTATGTTGATATTCTATCAAAAGCTGCATTAAGTGTAATTTATTTCAAAGTCTAATGAATAACAGAGGCAAAGGTCAAAATCATATGTAAGAGTGGAGCAGGTTTTTAAGGTAAGTCTGGAGCAGGTTGGTATGGAGCAGGGTTGAAGGTAAGTCTGGAGCAGGTTGGTAAGGAGCAGGGTTGAGGGTAAGTCTGGAGCAGGTTGGTATGGAGCAGGGTTGAGGGTAAGTCTGGAGCAGGTTCACAGGAGCCAGGAACTTTCAGGCAAATCACCAACTTCAATGTAAAGGCCCTGTTGTGAGCAGGTTGTAGCAGGTGAGGATGATAAGGTGACTGAGGATATAGAAACATAGAAATAGAAACATAGAAAGTAATGACAGATAAGAACCATTCGACAATGTAGTCTGCCCAATTTCTTTTAAATACGTTAGTTATCTTATAGTTAGGACAGCCTTATGTCTCTCTCTCTATCTCTCTCTCTCTTTCTCACTCTCAATGAAGTAGTCTCGGTGCAGTATATACACTTTGCATGTTTAAATTACAGGGTTAAATATATCTCTAGTGTCTGTCTTTCTAAAAGCCACTGGAGGTGTTTCCTTCTCAAAAACCCAGTTAAACTTGTTCCCAGAATCAGTTTTTGTTTATAGCAGCATTTGTTTAAAGGAGCGCTACATTTAACCGTCCAAGTTCCAGTCCATTGATTCTCTATGAGTAGCCTTGGATTGGAGAAGATTGCAGGTGATGTCAACTTGGATACTAACATAAGGTGAGGTGTTGCTGGAGACTGCCACGGAGGAGCCTCTGAGCTGGAAAGGAAGTAAGTAATAATTAGTTAACTTTATTTTTTTAAATATTAAATGGGGGTGGCAAAGTGGGTGGGCAGAACGGAACATAAAATCCTAAAATAAAGATTGTTATTTTTTTGTCCCTTTGAGGGTTATGAAAAGGTAAAGATGCACATTCCAGCTACCATATAAAAAGGATATATCATTGAGAAAGGCTGCCAGAGAGGTGTCAAAAAGTTGGGGGGAGTTTGTGACTCATGTTCTGTACTGTTTGGCTTTTGGAGTAGATGGTAATATCTGTATTTAATGTGTTCTTGCCTTGATGCATTGAGCCTATTTATTTTGGTTATTTTTTTGCATATTTTATTATTAATTTCAAATAAAGTATTCTAATTTATATGGTACATTTTAATTATTTTGAATTTTTGAGGCATTTGGGGAGTGCCTTTTTGGGTTTGCACCTTACTAAAAAAAAATAGTAATAAGTAATACATAATTGTAAAATATGCCATGCCCTCCATACAACATTAGAAGTTATATTGCCCTTTAAGGAGTATAACACAACCTCAAGGTCTTGTTCTACAGATTTACTGATTTATCCAGTAACTTTGTTTTAAATGGCTGTGTAGCTGACGTTTGGATTTTACAATTTCTGCCCAGCGTAATTAAGAGCTGTATTGCTCTGAACATGTGCCATCTTGTGTTACAATTAGTTAAAGCACTAGCACATTCAATTTATTGTCACACAGGTGAGTTATTTAATTGTTTCATCTGCATGCCAGTTTAACTTGTTATATACAAATTAATACCTTACATTGAATCATTTTTAGTTTACTGTGAGCTGGCAGTGATTAACTGATAACCTTAAGTCAGTGTTTACAGGCTATAGGATGCACAATGAAGGACAGTTCTCACCAACACATGACTTTATTCTGTTAGACCTTCAATCACTTAAAGTAGAAAACTTCAAGTCCTGCAGGGGACCTTTGGTTGGAGAATAAGTGAGCAAGAAATAGGACAGTTCTAAATATATGATAAAAGCTGGAATCACAGATGGAGATTAAGAGGTAATAAAATGTTATCCAGAACTATGAATTTGCTTTGCCCCAATAAGGAGGGGGTGGCGGGGCAGGTAAGCTGTTTGGACGATTGTGAAATCTTACTCCTTCTCTGGAATTGAGGTGGAAAAAATGTCAATTAAAAGATAATTAAAAAATCAGACGAGTGGAAGAAGATATCAGTAAGGCTTTTGACACTGTTGCACATAGAAGGCTTATCAATAAATTGCAATCTTTAAGTTTGGATTCCAATATTGTTGAATTGGTAAGGCAGTGGCTGAGTGACAGGCAACAGAGGGTTGTAGTCAATAGAGTATATTCGAAGCTTGGGCTTGTCACAAGGGGGTACCTCAGGGATCTGGACCCATTCTCTTTAATATTTTTATTAGTGATATTCCAGAAGGTCTTGATGGTAAGGTATGTCTTTTTGCTGATGATACTAAGTTATGTAAGAGGGTTGATGTTCCAGGAGGGATAACCTAAATGGCAAATGATTTAGGTAAACTAGAAAAATGGTCAGAGTTGTGGCAACTGACATTTAATGTGGATAAGTGCAAGATAATGCATCTCGGACGTAAAAACCCAAGGGCAGAGTACAGAATATTTGATAGAGTCCAAACCTCAACATCTGAGGAAATGGATTCAGGCGTGATTATTTCTGATGACTTAAAGGTAGGCAGACAATGTAATAGAGCAGCAGGAAATGCTAGCAGAATGCTTGGTTGTATAGGGAGAGGTATTAGCAGTAGAAAGAGGGAAGTGCTCATGCCATTGTTCAGAACACTGGGGAGACCTCACTTGGAGTATTGTACGCAGTACTGGAGACCGTATCTTCAGAAGGATATTGATACTTTAGAGAGAGTTCAGAGAAGGGCTACTAAAGTGGTTCATTGATTGCAGGATAAAACTTACCAGGAAAGGTTAAAGGATCTTAACATGTATAGCACAGAGGAAAGATGAGACAGGGGGGATATGATAGAAACATTTAAATACATAAAGGGAATCAACACAGTAAAGGAGGAGACCATATTTAATTGAAGAAAAACTACCACAACAAGAGGACACAGTCTCAATTAGAGGGGCAAAGGTTTAAAAATAATATCAGAAAGTATTACTTTACTGAGAGGGTAGGGTAGAGGGTACATTACTGAGAGTATACCACTTCAGCTGGAATAGCCTTCCAGCTGAAGTGGTAAAGGTTAACACAGTAAATGAGTTTAAGCATATGTGGGATAGGCATAAGGCTATTCAAACTATAGGATAAGGCCAGGGACTAATTAAAGTATTTAGAAAATTGGGCAGACTAGATGGGCCAAATGATTCTTATCTGCCGTCACATTCTATGTTTCTATGTTTCTATATCCTCAGCCACCTTATCATCCTCACCTGCTACACCCTGCTCACAACAGGGCCTTTACATTGAAGTTGGTGTTTTGCCTGAAAGTTCCTGGCTCCTGTGAACCTGCTCCAGACTTACCCTCAACCCTGCTCCTTACCAACCTGCTCCAGACTTACCTTCAACCCTGCTCCATACCAACCTGCTCCAGACTTACCTTCAACCCTGCTCCATACCAACCTGCTCCAGACTTACCTTCAAACCTGCTCCACTCTTACATATGATTTTGACCTTTGTCTCTGTTACCAGCCTTCCTGTGTTACAAGCTTGCCTCTGTTATCAGCCTTCCACTGTAGCCAGCCTTCCACTTTAACCAGCCTTCCACTGTAACCAGCCTGCCTCTGTAACCAGCCTTCCACTGTAACCAGCCTGCCTCTGTTACCAGCCCGCCTCTGTAACCAGCCTGCCTTTGATACCAACCTGACTTTGTTTCAAACCAACCTGGAGATCACAGACTTTCTTTATTATTTGCAAGTATCCTGTGTTGTGGCATATTGCCTTAATTCTGTTTTTTCTCAAGTTTCATAATATGTCTAAAAGCACCAATAAAGTCTCAAATAACAACCCTGGCCAAAGTCTCCTATCTGACCTGCTCAAGATCATGACAATTGCATCCCAAAGAACTTCTATCATGACATATAAAACAAACATAGGAAATTACTAAAAACATTAGTTTGATGAATAACTGAGAAATCAGTGAGGTCAGGTAACAAAGGTTTAACTTTGGCTTGATTCAGATTGATTTCACTTAAGGCAGGTACAAGTTGTTTAAACATCGATGATATGGATAATATGCCAAAAGAAACAAACACAACAAAAAATATAAATACATCAAATAATATAAAAATACCAATAAATGAGAAAATAAATAAAAAGTACCTGACCTCGGTGTGGGCCCCCACCAGAGGTAGAAATAAAATCCAAGTCAGGGGTATCCAGAAAGACTCCCAGATGACACCAAATAACACCCACCAAATAACTCAATGAAGAGTGGGAGCAGCCAGATGCACCATAGAGTGAAAAACAACCTATCGCCTTAATACCGCGGTCGGGGTCTTCGAAAAAGACTGCGGTATTAATAACACAAAGGTGAAGGAAGCTGTGCAGGAGATGCTGCCCAGGATGCAAAAAACTCTTATAGAAGCACCTCGGTAGAGATCTTCACAAAAGACTGTGGCAATCAGCCAGGAAAGGCAAGGTGCCAGACCGGGTGCAAAATTAAAGGCAAGGGAACAGCTAAAACAGGTATGTGCATAGATCAACCCGTTTCATTTCACTTCTGAAACTTTTTGATATTGACCCTGTTTCTTGTTGCATTTAAACGTTAAGTCCGGCTATTCTAAGGCTCGGTAATACGCCTTTCGGATCCACATTTTGTGGGTTTCCTCTTTCCTGTGTGTTACGACTGCCGTAATAACTTCCCTGTGGACTGCCATACTCTCAATAGTGCCTGCCGATTATGGGAGTAGGCTAGCATCTCTGCATTTAGTGTGAACAGACCTGCTATTGATGTATATGAGCCAGGGGTTTTATAGGCACTCTTACATTATATTGATTTACTTTGTTTTCTCTGCTCAGTTTTAGCTTCTTTATAGTGCCTTTTCTCAAATTAGATTCAATACCGGTAGCATCCATGTTGCCTGACTAGCACCATTTTCATAACACTTCACCTATCTCTCTATACAAGGCACAGTCTATTTCATCACGATTGCCTAGCGTGTGCATACAATTGCCTGATATTTTATTTCACCTTTAAAGATAAGAAAACCCACACTCCTTAGGCTCAAACTATGCTTTTACCTTGCCTACAAGTCTGATTAAGAAGTGATATGCTGACATACATATTGTTTTTGTAATTTAAAAATCTGTGCAGTTGACTCTAATGCCATGACTCTGTCTTCTGTGTAAATATAACGTACTTGCTCTAGCTTTCGTGACAGCGCAAGCGAGTCTCTTATCTTGTGCACAGCAGAAATAAAGAATTAAAAAAAAATTTCATCTTCCATAAGTAGTTAAAAAATCTCCATATGTTAAGCATTCATTGTATGCAATATCATTAAAATTGGTTCATCTTCCGTACGTAGTCAAAAAATCTCCATAAAATCTCCAAATTGGTTCATTAATAAAAAAGTTATTGACTCCATAACCCTATTCTATTGGCCCACCCTGGATAATGTACCACATAGGTGCATCTTTATGTTAAAGCTTCCTCTTTAAAAGGTTAAGTATAATGGTGTGCAGTTTACAAGGAGAATTGATTGCCATATTATCAATGTAATTACAATATGTAGTACCAACATGACACGGAGACAAAGACAATTAAATATACATGTGGCAAATTATTTCTAATAGTTATTTAATGTTTTAGAATCATTTACTCCCTTGCACATTTAGGCAGTTAATTAAAAACAGCATGCAGATATCAGAACACATTTATTTCATTCTGATTTAGATAGAACATAAGAGGATCTCACATTTAACTAGTAAAAAAAAAATATATTCTCACAGCATTTCCAAAGGGCTGTGATAAAGAATCATAAACACCAGATGCTTTTTTTTTTTAAATAATAGTATCAGAGTTCCAAAAACTATTTCGGTACCCAGAATAAATATTTTTCCATTAGGATAAAAATAATAGGTGAATTATTCATCAAAATGCTATTAGGGTACTTATATTTTTTTTAATAACACACTGTTTAAAGTTAGTAATATCACTAATACATAGTATGCCAATAATGATAACTTGTTTTGTATCAACATATTTTTGAATAAAACTGAAAAGAGAACATGTTACATTTACTTATCTAAAAAGTTGCACCTATTTACTAAATATAAAATAGTCTGTAGTTTAAACTTATGGTGACAAAGTATCTTATATAACTTATTCAAACTTTTATCTAATTCAATGATACAAAAAATATCTCCACTGGATATTTGTTTGTTTAGCTGTTCAGTATATCTGATTGTCCATGTTTTTACAGAGAGATGTGTCATTGTATGAAACACATAATGAAAAGGGTTATTCATTTTAATACATAGGCCTATGGAAAAAAGAGGATGAGAAGAACTTCTAACTAAATGGAATATTGCAGATAATTAGTCATATTATTATGAAGGAAAAACTGTTCCAGATTGCCGGGCATATAGGAGAAAACCCTACGTCTGACAGTTGGTCGGGTCAATGGATGAAGAAGCTTGGAGGGAGGAACTTAATTAGCGATGAGAGTGGGAGGAAGCGTAATATGTAGCATTTCCCTTAATGATTTTGTTTATCTGACAAATGTAATGGAACAATTAATGGACTCAAATAAAACAATTATTAAAGATTTTTTTTTAACTCTAGTTTAAGCAAAACAGGGATAAATTGTGCTTGACATTTCATATACGAGATGGGCTATTGCTATTTTAATTCATAGAGCAAGCCTGAATCAATAATAGAAATATATTCTGCAAGTATTGTGCTATCTACTGATTGATGTCACTAGGAAAGCCTTTGTGGGGCAATGCTTGCTCAGTAAACTTGTACAAGCATTGAGATCCCCACCAGATATCATGGCCCTAACCCCCAACACACAATACACTTTATGTAACTTAACCTTGGCATTAAATACCATGTGGATATTTTTGCACTATAATGTAACTTTATAATCATGTAAATGATAGTCATGTAAATAATATGTATTATATTGTAAGGCCTTTTAGGTCTTCGTATATAAAATGAGTTGTACTAGTAAGTCCTACAGTATCATCACATGTGTACGTTTGTCATAGATATGGCTTGTCATAAGGAATCATTGAATTCAATCATTGAGCCTGCCGTCCCAATTCTCCTTTTTGAAGAGCATTGGGTTGTACTATCACCATGGATGCCTCTAAGAGGATGTGGTGCTAGGACGAGTTGGTGGCAGCACCAAGGGAGACTCAGCGCTGGACAAAAAGGTAATTACAATTATTTATTTTAGATTTTCTCTGCGCACAGGAGGGAGTGGGGGATAAAACTAACAAGGGACTGGGAAACTATAGCATTAGGAACAGGTTTTTATGTCTAACACTGTAGTGTCCCTTTCAAAAACAACAACTACAGCTTGTAAATCATCCTCCATGTTCATTCTTGTTGGTGTGTGACACACATTGCCTATTACTACGAGTTTTACTGTAGTTTGTTGTTGTTTTTTTTTTTTGTAGTGTCCCTTACCTTTTACTTCTGTTGGAGGAGAATGTTTGAAGTACTGAGATATGGTCTGGGATGAAGGAGTTGCATCTTCTCTTTCATCCCAGACCATATCTCTGTTCTTCTCACTCCCACCATGTGTCTTTATATTTCCTGTTTTCTTTCAAGACTTATAATAATGCAGCACATGAGAAGGAGTCACTGTGTTAGAAATCCTCCTACAAATACACAGCCTCAAGTTGCCG